CTCCCTCACATGTTTCAGACCTTCAGGAAATCATCAACGACCAACGAGCCAAAAGGATTCAAGGCATGCCACGTTGGAAATTGGCGCCATGCAAGATGAACTTCAACAAGTAAAGGAGGGCCAAGGTGATGCCTCAGCAAGCCAGAATCCCTTGTCCAACATGATGGATGCCTTTATTGACAACATCACCTCGAAACCCCTCCCGCTCCACTTCAAAGCCCCCACCTTGGAAATGTATGATGGTAACACTGATCTAGAGGGCCACCCAGAAACCTTTAGAGCGCTCATGCTCCTTTATGGATATTCCGATGCCTTGATGTGTCAGGCTTTCCAGGCGACTTTCAAGAGGGCAGCCCGCCGATGGTTCTCCGGACTCCCACCATGCTCTATTAGCTCTTGGGAGCAATTCAAAAGCCTTTTTCTCGCTCACTTCATCAGCAGTCGGTGATGATAGAAGAGCATTGTCTCATTAATGTCCATTTGGCAGAAGAAAGGGGAGAGTCTATGGTCATACATTGACCACTTCAAGAAGGAAGAGCTTGAGGTGCAAGACCTCGACCCTATGATCTCCATGCTTGCAGCTATCAACGGCCTCCTGTCAGAGTCGCCCTCAAGTGCTCTGTAGCAAAGACACCATCCAAAACCAAGGCAAAATTTTTGAAAAAAGCTTAGAAGTACATTGCCGCTAATGAGGCCTCGGTCAGCAAACACCAAGAAGGAGAGGCCGACCACAATCACGCAAGGTCAGATAAAAAGAGAAAGAATTGAGACAGGTGTGGAAACAACAACAGTAAAGATGGCAACAAGAAGCCATCGGCCTTAACGTACAACAAGTACACACCACTCAACTCCACCCGAACACAGATCCTCATGCAAGTAGGGAAGGAGGAATACATGAAGTGGCTAGAGAAGATGAAGAGGAACTCAGAAGGGGCAATCTAAAAAATTATTGCAAGTACCACTGCGGCACCGGCCACGATACTGAGAACTGCTATGATATGAAGAATGAGATCAAGTTCCTCATCTGCCGCGACCACTTGAAAGAGTATGTGACAGCAGCAGCAGAACTTAGCCGGCGTCATCGATGTCATTGTGGAGGGCATGGCCTTGGGTGGAGCCTCATCCTCGGCCTGAAAAGCCTACACCATGTAGCTCACCATCCAGGGGTCGGCTCCCAAGAAGCAAAAGAAAGAAGAAGTCATCTCTTTTTCGAATGATGACTTGAAGGGGACCGAGTCCCCCACGACGATGTGTTGGTGGTGATGATGACCATCACCAACTTCATGGTAAAGAGGAATCTCATCGATAGTGGATCTTCGGCAGACATCCTCTTCCATGATACCTTTGAAAAGATGATGTTTGTAGTTGGCCTATAGCCGGCCGACGTGCCACTCATCAGCTTCTCCATGAACGTCATCAAATCGGAGGAAGAATCACCCTACCAGTTATGGTAGGGTCAGAGCCTCGGCAGGTGATGAGGATGACTGAGCTCCTGGTCATAAGGATCGGTTCTCCTTACAATGTCATCATCGGTCGGCCGACCCTTCACGTAGTTAAGACAATCATCTCCTCCTATCACCTAGCCCTCAAGTTCCCCACCGAGCACGGCATCGAAGTCGTTAATGGGGATCAACAAACAGCCCGATAATGCTATGTGGCAGCGCTGAAGGGGAAGAATGAAGAAGCTTTGTCGTTGGAGGGCCTTGACCTCATGAACAAACTAGCAAGCTGAGACCAACCAACCGAAGACCTCGTCTCAATACCCCTAGACAAGGACAAGCCTAGGAAAATGGTGCACATCGCGTTCAACCTTCCCTAGAGAGTCTTTCCAAACTAGTAAGTTTCCTCAAAACTAACACCGACATCTTTGCTTGGTCTACCGCTGACATGCCTGGAATTGACCCTTTGGACATTACTCACAGGATGAGCATGGACCCGAACTCTAGGCCAGTTTAGTAGAAAAAGATGAATTTTGCACTGAAACGTTGGAAAGCCATCGGAGAGGAAGTTGACAAGCTACTTGATGTCAACTTCATCAGAGAGGTACATTACCCTACCTGATTGTTTAATGTGGTTATGGTGAAGAAGGCTAATGGGAAATGGCGGATCTGTATTGACTTCACAAACCTTAACTGAGCCTAACCCAATGACAGCTTTCCTTTACCGAGGATCAACCACTTTGTTGATGCCACCATAGGGTACGAGCTACTCAGTTTCATGGATGCCTTCTCCGAATATAATGAGATAAAGATACACCTCGAAGATGAGGATAAGACTTCATTCATCACTGAGCATGGGACCTACTGCTACAACGTCATGCCCTTCGGTCTTAAAAATGTCAAAGCCACCTACCAACGGCTTATAAACAAAGTTTTTAAGCATCAGATGGGGAGAAACAACGAAGTCTACGTGGACAACATAGTTGTAAAAAGACTGAAAGCCGACCAACACACCTCAGGCTAGCCGAGACATTTGCCACTCTACAGAAGTAGAATATGAAGCTCAATCCCAGCAAGTGTGCCTTCGGCATCACCTCAAGAAAATTCCTAGGCATCATCGTCACGCAACGGGGTATAGAGGTCAATCCAGAGAAGACTCAGGCCATTCTTAACATGGCACCACCTCACCTCAAGAAAATTCCTTGCCCCCTCTTCTCGCTCGGCCACTTCTAGGAGACATGTTGTACTTGTACCTCTCGGCCGGGAACGAGGCAATTAGTTCAGTGTTGGTGAAAGATGATGGAGTGCAAATTCCTATCTACTATATCAGCAAAGTCATCTGCGATGCCGAAACCCGTTACCCCAAAGTGGAGAAGTTAACTTTCACCCTAGTGGTCTCGGCCAAGAAACTCAGACCATACTTTTAAGTCCACTACATCACAATTCTGACCAACCAGCCCCTCAAATATGTTCTTGCCAAGCTTGAGACATCAAAATGGTTGACCAAATGGTTCATTGAGCTGTCTGAGGCTGACGCCTGGAACATACTCACCATGATACCAATGAAGCGCACGATTGGGGAGCATGTGTGTCTCGTACCCATAAACAACACAGTACCAAGCTCTTAGAAGCCGAGGTTGACACCTCCGCACACTTGGTCCTCTACAACGCTCCCAAGAGGCGGAACCTATGCAGCAGTCGTCATCAAAATGACTAAGGAAAACCCACATAGCCCAAGCCACGACCGAGGCCAAGCCATACCCGTAAAATTAGCTGCCACCAAGATAGGAGAAGCCTTCCGAAGCCGATGCCGAAGTCTCCATGCTTCTGGATCAAGATCATCCTCAGCAGAGCCAATACCAAAGCCGACGTTTCCACACTTCTAAGTTAGGCTATCTCCTATGTCTCCAAAGCCTAAGCCGATGCCATTGCACTTAGAAGCAAAGTTCTCCCTCAGGTGAGCCAAAGCCAAAGCCAAAGCTAAGGTCCTCGTCAGCACAAGCCACTCAATGCCTTCCCATAAAGGTGGTACACTTTCTTCGGCCGAAACCGAGGTCATCATGCGGACCTCCACCACGGCCTCGAGAGTGGGGGGCAAATGATATAGGCAAACATGGCAGGCCCTATGGTGCATGGACAAGTGGTGTCCTTAGATGGCGATGCACGGCATAGGGCAGATCGCATGTTGGTCGTCTGCTTATAACTAACTCCAAGTAGGTTCAAGTATAAATAAGTGGCATCACTCCCTAGGTAAACTATCTTGCCTTTTATTGCTCTTAGCTCTCCAACTTCTTGATGACCTCGTCTGAACTATCTTACTCAAGCCCTCATATTCGGAAGTGAATTCACATTGTTGCCCACTTGCCCTTGGCCCATTTAAGGCAGCAACAATATCCTACTTTCTAGTGTCAAAGTTAAAGCACAAAAATAGAACTGATCGATTGCCATAGACAAGGTGGACCCCTGAATTGGTGGGATTTGTTAAATCAATCAAAGATGAAAACGTTGACATATTACTAACCAACCAACCTTAACCTTCTGCACAAGTGGGGGCGGGCATTGTTTGTCTAGAGGATGGATCCGTGACGATATGCCACGTCGTCTTGACGACCCAAGCCAAGACCCATGTAAGCAGTACCGGCCATGCGCATGATGTTGGTAGAACAGATTTGATTGAGCAGCAATTAAATTAAATGAGTGATGTAGTGGTGCTCTTGTTCTCCATGATTTAATTTGCCCCTTCATAGTTCATATGTTTTGGCGTTTTCCTTCAATTCATGTTCTAAAATTACATTTTGATCCTAGAAAGAGAGATTATCGCGTGCAAATTCAAGCCCAGGGTTCAACACATGGTGGGTCCCAGTGATGTGGGGCAGACCCCTTGAGTCTTGACAACGTACCAATCAGACACCAGGGTTTTTGCCTATTAACCAAAAAAAGAATAAAAAAAAACGGTACCAGGGATCGTACCAATAAACAACATTCAACTCTTTCTGGGCAGGCGTTTGCGTTTCAAACATGCATGGCTGAATGGCTGATGGTTCACTCGGCATTGGATGCTTGGGTCGTTATTCGACTTTTTTATCTTTTCTCTGGCCCACCAACAAATGTATGTTTCATATGGATTTCCACGGGAATGAATGATGTGTTAGCCCCATGCAAGCATTCAAGTTCAACAAGGAATATCATTTGGAAGAAGCAAACTCGAATCGAATCTGGGCCTGCCATGACACCTCAACCTCACCCTACAAGATCGTAATAGTTCAACTCGATAATACAGGATCAAATCAATCACAACCTACCAGAATTCCGCTTCAATTATGCTATGCATCACCTAGGCTCCAGCAGCTGATGAGTAGTGACGACCCTGCTCTTCATAAAACGAATTCCGTGATTCATATTGGGTCTCAGAGCTTATATAGTTGAGAGATTCTCATTCTGCTGTTGGGTAAATGACATGCATTAACTGACCAACATAATTATTGATCCTTGATTTAAACACTAGTAACGACAAAAGCCTGGCCAGTTCAAAATTCAAAATTCAATCCATCGATTCCTAAACACAGTTATAAGAGCTCAAGCATGATTGAAAAATAAAGTTATGATTTGACAACACCATGGTCTGTCTGTTGTTATCAAGTAAAAATCATTGGAGATGGCGTGCGTAATCCACGCTATCCCTTTAAGATTTTACATTTATATGATTTGCACTCCTTGAATATAAAAATGGAAGTGCCAAGCTAGGATGCCACAGAATGCATGGCAACTTCGTACAAGGAAAAGAATAAAACAAAATTTTCCACTACTCAAAACTTCTTAAAGAATCAAGGAAAAAAAATTATTTGAGGAATGAAAACAAAATCTGGCATTTTCTCATGAATGATTATGCCAAGTTGAAAACAATGAACAAGAAGCAGAGTAAAATATCTATTAGAAATGTGATTGTGGATACAAGATCCCTAGGGAATAATAATATCCTGCTCTGAGGTTGTTTGAGTGCCTCAAATGCCACTTGAATCCCTTCCGAAAACTAATCGCCTTGTCCAGTCAGATACCACCAATACCCTTGTTCGCCAGCTTACTTGTTTACTGAAATTTGTAAAGGAACAGTAAGAGAATCACAATTGACTAACATTTTCATATCGGTACAGAATAAGCACCCAGACTGCCAACACTGAGCAGTGAGCACATTATAATTTAAGCAGAATGAAAATATTACCTGGCGTATACAGAATACCAAAGCCACTGGCTGCTGTAACCTATAGAAACACTATCCCAAGGCAACTGGAGTGCAGTTTGTTCTCCTCCCAGTGGAGCAAATTGCCCCAAATGCTTGTACCTTTCAATTGAAAGCCAAGTAAGAACACCATGTGATGAAACTCCTCTTTTTTATTTTTCGTATTAAAAAACTCAATTAACTACACAGGGTATCTCTAAAGCTTGAATAAATAATGGTAAAAGAGGTGAAAATGGCAGTATAAAAGCTTTTCAATTCAAATAAACCATAAAATAGGTACAGTATATGTGTAAGCTAAGATAGGAATCCAACTAGTATATGTTCTTAATAAGTTAGACTCTCTCTCTCTCTCTCTCTCTCTCTCTCTCTCTCTCTCTCTCTCTCTCTCTCTCTCTCTCTGTCTCTCTCTCTCAGAGTATGTGCTTCCTTTGTAAGTGCAGTGGTGAAACCACAAATCACCTACTAATCTCCTATCCTTTTGTAAGCAGTGCATGAGAACCCTTTCTTTCTTCTTTTTGGTGCTAGGTGGTGTACCCCACAATTGTAGCAGCATTCTTTTTCTGATCAGTCACAAGATGTGGGAACGTTATTCTTTACATTCTTTTGTCTCACCATCAAAGAAATGGGGTAAAATCCTTTGGAGATGCACAAGAGCATCTGTTCTTTGGTACATTTGGGAGGAAAGGTTGCAAGGATATCCTAAACAAGAACCATTTGAGAGAGGCAACCTTACAGTCTATTGAGATTTATCCATTGGGTGAAAACAAGGTTGTATAAAATTGATGATATACTTAGAGGTTGGAGGGTAGTGGCATCTACAGCCATGCAGCAAAATATTATGGTTACCTCCTGGACTGCCCCTCAGTTCAAAATTAAACTGAGTTTCAATTGATGAAAGATTGGGAACCCCAACAGTCAAAAATTGGTGGTGTTTTCCGAAATCATCAGGGTAACATTTAAAAGGCTTTCTCAGGGCCAACTGGAGTGGGCTTTTGGTAGCCCTTCAAGGTCTAAGATTTTCAAAGACATCAGATTTCAGGGAGAAGATAGCTGAAGGAGATTCCAAAACCATTATTGTGTTGTTGAGAGATTCCATGGAGGGCCCTTGGAGACTCAGAAATCTAATTATAGAAGCCAGGTCTCTTATTGAGGTGCTGCAAGCTGTATTAGGTTGGGTGCCAAGGTTAGCAAGCTCCCTTGCAGATTCACTTGCCCAGGAAGGGATCAATAGACATCCTGGTGTGGGGTGAAATACTCTTTAAGTTGATTAAGTGAGGTCCTAGGGTGGAGTTGTCTTGTAGGAGGGGAGGGCGAAGGAAGCAACCGTGGGCTAAATCATCACCTAGGTGACAATGCACTCTGTTTTTCACCTAGCTGCACTTCAGCACTTTGACAAATATTCTATATAAGGAATATGATTTTTATTGTTCAAATAAAAAAAATTAAGAAGTGAATCTGTTACAAGTTGGAGGAGCAAAAGAGCTAGGGCAGGAAAAAAGAACATGGATTGAAGTAGCAAGATATGATATGGGTTCTCATAACTTAACAGTGGATATGACACTGAACAGAATGGAATGGCAATACAGGATTCATGTAGCTGACAATGTAGTTGGGACAAGGCTTTTTTTCTTGGGGTGGAGGGGGGGCAATGATAGGCACATGTTCTGCAAACCTCTTATTTACATCACCCTCATCTAATCCTTGTCCAAACTATATAGGGTCAAACTACATAAATCTTCTCCCTCCATATAGCTGGGAGATGACTTAGATGATGATGATGATGTTGATGATGATGATGGTATAAAAAATGAGTTTAAGATCATTGGTCTTATCATCACTGCCCCCCTCCCCCAAAGAAAAAAAGATCATAGACGGACTATTGATCTAATGAATACAACTATATTATTTTAAATATAAAACTATATTCCCTTTTTACATGGTTTTCTTAAGTCAGTCATTGGCACAAACAGGATTCTTTACCTTTTTCTTATTACAAAGTTATAAAAAGGGAATTGCAGTGAAAAAATGATAAAAAAAAAGCTTTGACAATTTAGTCAAATAACAGGAAATAGCATAAGCATAGGGGAGGTTTCTTTTTACAGAAATTTTCACTCATTGACAAGAAAACAAAAATATCTACAGCAAATCAGATGGATAAACATGAAAATGAGAAGATGAGTTTGTGTAAAAGTTAAACTCACTGAAAGGGAAGAAAGCGATGACGTCCTGATCCCCTGAATCTGAGAGGACCTTCTGGATTTTTTTCACACTCCTCCATACGGTTGAAACACCTGGCAAGGTAAGCACCTTGTTGAGCAGCAACCTAAGTCCACCATACAATGATAAAAGTGTAAGGTATGATTTAGAATAATGCCACTGGATGATATAAGAAATTTCACTTCATCAGTGAACAAGCACATAGTATGTTGATCAAGAGCTAACCTGAGCTGTTGCTGGAAGAATCTTCATCTGGGAATCAACTTCGGACAGAACTGATTTCAGTTGTTCAATATCAAGTTCAGTGGATTTCTTTCCGTCATCTTTATTGGAATCCTTCAAGAGTTCTACAATGTTTCTCATCTTCTTATGCTTCAAATAGAGCTCCACCTGAGGATACCTTATACAGATGTCATCAAACACATCGTTAACTGCATCAACAGTTAAAGTTCCAGATTGGTTCTTGTCTGCTTTATCAAATATCACTGAAATGTCTTCCTGATGCACATAAACAAGAAAATAAAAGAAAATATTAGCAATAATAATTTGACTTGAGCCTTTGATTTTATGCTAAAATGCTTTAAGAATATGAAGTGTGTCCAACTTTCACAGGATATCATGACTTCAGTTTATTTTCATTCTGTTCTCCTGTCAACCCTTTCGAAGATCTCATTCACAAACAAGTGAAAACAAACAAATCATAATGCTGGTATTTGTTTAATTTATTCTCTACAGTTTTGTCTTTATTCAGAACCTTGCAAAGACCTTAGATTGATAGTACTAATAAATGATCCATTATTGTTCCTAAGGAACATTGCTGCTTATTGGGGATTCCTTTCTCATATTTCACATGCTTCAAAGAAGTAAAGTTTCATGGAACCACTCCAAGCAAATTTTTAAATGTAATGCACTGAAGCTGACCATGACATACAGGTCGCATGGCTCAAATTGAGGTATGGTGATATAAGAAACGACTCCTCAGCACTGAAAAAATAAAATGCAAAAGTTCACATGTAACACAAATTCCTGAATTCAAGATGAATGCACCTTAAAGTCCAAGGAATTGAGTTCTTATTGATCACCTCAAGGGAAAGGCATGTAGGCCACTGAGTGACGTGTAGGAAGCATGAAGATAATGTGAGACATTTACTTCATCCAATGAAAGGTATTACTTTTCATATGTCATGTTTTCCTTGTTATTTAAAACAACGTGTTTTAGCCCCAGTTCACCCCCTGTTCAAACTAGGGAGTTACACTTTCTACATAAATTGACTGAACTATGCAATTGCACATTAGAAGGATGTAAAGTAAGCATTCTGCCAAAGATTCTGAGATTACTGATAACTGATACACAATAGAACTAGATTTTTGTCAAGTTTCATTAAGAGAATAACAAAATTTTCTTTCTTTGCATAAGATATATTACTGACATGCAACAGAAAACAATAGACTGAATTGGAAGCTGCAACTTTCCCAGTGAAATCTCAATATTGGTGTACAAGTTCTTGATTAAATAACATGGAATAGGGTGGAAACAGAGACAATGGACCTCATAATGGCCAAAATTCTCTTATGCTCATAATGAAAGTAAAAATGTGAAGAAGCTTGATGCAAGACTTACCTCAGAGATTACAATATTTATTTACAAAATCTGGGATCATATCTAGATTACCTAGATATAGAAAGGACATGGTTGGACAAGGTGTAGGATAGGGAATTTACACGAAAAATTAAAGTATCCAACACAATATAGTACCCTTGTACAGGTATCATACAGTTCAAATATATGAATGTTTAAAAGATCAGAGCATGGAGGTAAAATATAATAGTAAACCAAAACAAAAAGTACAGTCCTGTGACACCTAACACCAAAGATTTACAGGTGCTCATTTTTTGTGCCACCTAAGATATCAGAGAAAACAAAAGTAAAGAAAACCTCCAATCACTACATACCATCACTTTTCGTTGATTTATAGTGGCACAGTCACCAAGTGCATATATGTTATTACACCCCTCAACTCGCAGCCATTCATCGGTTGCTAAAGCGCGCCTGTTAGTCTGGAATTGAAAGGAAAATTTGTTTACCAATATAAGCTAATAACAACCAAAATACATATTAGAAAATCTAAATTATATCTACTGAAGAAATAAAATGAACCTAGCTCCTAATAAATTTCAATCAAAACAAAAATAGAAAAAGACAAGTTCAGAAGCCTAACCTGACCGATTTGCTTCATAAAATCCATTACAATAGGGCGGGTCCCAATACCAGTTGACCAGACAACCATTCCATATGGTATAGAGGAAACGCTCCCAGTTGATCTTTCCTTAGTAGAAATACCTGTATCAGACACCTTTACAACCATGGACCCTGTTTTCACATTGATACCATCTCTTTGGAACTTCTCTTCAGCAAAAGCAGTGATTCTTTTGTCAAACCTTCAAAATTTGTAGAGGCATGAGAACAAAGTTAAGTAAATGGAAATGACATGACTGAAGCATGAGAACAAAGTTTTGTCATATCTATTTTACTCTCTCCTTCCTGCATATCTCGTCACTTCATGCATTCACTTCAATGTAAGAATGTTTCTAATTAGTATATAGGTAAAGTTGAGTATGTTTTTTTCTTTTTTTTTTTTTTTTGAGAAAAAGGTAACTTGATTCAAAAGAAACAAGATACAAATTTGAGTATCCGTTTCAAAGATAATCTAAAAGTAAGAGCATTCACCAACTTTAGTATGCATCCAAGCTTTTCGAATGAGCCCAACAAGAACCAACAAAATATGCAATTTTAAATCAGGATTGCTTTACCAAATTATCTTGATGAGGATTCTCTAAATTTTGATCAAACAGATGCAACCTTGTCGTATACATTATGTGAAGATCTATATTACAAAAAAATAAAGTTTTACCTGTGTTTAACTATGCCTTAATAAGTTTAGTTATGTTGTATGACAGAAGTGGACAACATCAGGCACCAATTCAATGAAGATATGTTGGGAAAAATGGAAGGAAGGAAACAAAAGAATTTCTTATGGAAGATCACATACTACTTATGGATGTTTATTTGTTGGTTTTGGATTTATTGTTGGCAACTCCTGAATATGAAGATATGAACAGAACTTTGTTTGGGGGTCGTATTTGAATCTTGTGGTTGAGGATTAGGAATTCATATTTTCTTTTCTACTGTAACTTCTATTTTTGATGCAAGATATTGTGGTTAATGATTATGCTGAAACCTCTTCACTTTTCATGTAAGCTTTTATTGTAATTTATTGTATTACATGAAAATTTATCTTATTGTAAAGAAAACAACAAAGATGGTATCTTAGAAGCAAAGAAAGTTTAAAATATCATCTTCACTTACATGCTCAAAATATGATCTCCTGCCTCAAGAAGTGTTATTTTCACTAGATCTTTAACATCAGGATACAGCTTAACTAAATCTTCACGTACAAAGTCATGAAGCTCTGCAGCAAACTCCACACCTGTAGGTCCACCACCAACAATCACGAAATGAAGATTTTTCTTTCTTTCTTCTTCACTTAAGTTAGGAAGGCTAGCCCTCTCAAAACAGTCAATGACACTCCTACGGATGCTCTGAGCATCCTCTACCTCCTGCATGAAAAAGTGCACATTCCTGAACAACAGTACTAATAAAGATAACCAAAAAGAAACTGTATTACTGTTACAAAAAATCGCAATTGTAGTTTAATTATTTACAATTTGAATGCCAACAACTTCATGCTAAGAGGAAGGGTTTTGGAAGCTGCAGTCTATGACCATGCAGCAGGAAAGAACGTGAATCTTAGTTGCCAGTCCCATTTTTTGTGCTAGTAGGTACCCAATTTCCATGTCTTTTATATTCCATGAAGAAAAAATAGCAGATCACTTGACTTTATTGAAATATATATATATATATATATATATATATATATAAATAGCTAAGAAAAAATAACCGTATACCAAACGGAAGCATAGGGAGTTCACCTTCAAGAAATGACAATGCTCCACAACACCAGGAGTGTTGAATGTATTGGAACGGGCTCCCATAGCAATCACCAGATAGTCATAATCTATAATAAATTCTTCTTTCCCATCTAAGTTTGGTTGGAGGACTGACCGACAATGGATTTTCTTATTTTCAGCATCAACCTTTGTACATTCAGCTTCCCAAAATCGAAAGTCTCCATTTTTCTGTCATGTCAGAAAGGAAAACATGGAAAGCATTGTCTCAGCAGCTAAAAGGATCACTATAATAGAATATATATTTTTTAATAAATGACTATTAAAATAAAAACAGATCAGGAAGAAAGAGTTATCTGCAACACCTCATCAAGTTACACATCACAAGAAGAGTTTTTTATCTTATGCCTTCATCAACTACTCACTAGTTCCTTGAAACAAAAAGACCACAGCCATATGATTGAAATTCAGAACCTCAAACACAAAGCAAATGCAGCATCCATATCATTAGATCCATAAGCTCCTTGATTAACAAGTTAACAACTTTTCACCACTGTTTGACACCGCACTCCTCCCCCCTCCCCCAATAAAAAAAAATAAAGCCACCACTAAACTTCCTGAACTCTGCTAACTCCAAATCAACACTGCTACCAACCTATACAAGCTTAAGCCTATACCCTTATTGGTGTCCTCTTCTAGCTCTGGCCTTTCATCTTGGATTCACCTGCCTCTCATCATTCTTCCTTGCAGCCTTTTCTTGTTATCTCCATTTGGACTGGATTAATTCCCCTCAAAGTTATGACTTTTTGTTGGGAGGCATACCATAACAAAATCAATACATGTGATTAATTGCAGTAAATTGGCAATAGAGACAGGTTTTAGGGAAATCAAGCTTTTTATCTAGGAAAAAGATTGTGGCAGTAAATTGGATACCAAAATCAGTAAACTGCTTTGCCAATTCACTTGCTCAACAAGGAGTCAATAGGGAATATATGTTTTGGGGAATTACCAATGAAATACTAAAGTAAAAAAGTCATAGCAAACTTTGTGAACATATGTTTTGGGGAATTCTTTGCTATCCTAATTCGAAAAGCACTTTTCTTGCAAACTCTTCACCACCCAAAAAGAATAGTCCCAATTTCCCCTGTGTCTAGAATAGCTATTTTAAGTTGTTTAAATAGCTATAACTTCCATATCAACAAATCAACTGAAGCCCAGCCTATCAAAATCCTTTAAATCACTCTTTTATAGATGCATGATATAACAGAAGGGCATAAGGATTAAGGAGATTGTACCTTGAAATCCCCATGCAATAAATGCCCAAAGCTTGTTCACTTCTTTCAGAAGAGATACTTAACCCTATAGCTTATCTAGGTACAAGATATTATATTTATGTAGAAAACTCTGGTGGAGGCTGGTCTGGGTATCAAGAGTCCAGTGTTCCTAACCCTTCATTTCCATGTTTGACACCATAAGATGTCTCAACATATAATAATTTTCTTGTTTATAGCCTCAGAAGAGAAATCAGCAAATATATGGAAATCATATCAATGATATGTAGTGAGAAATGATTTAAGGTTCCATAAATTAACAATGGATACGGTATTGACAGAGCAGAATGATGGAACAGGATTCAAGTACCTCCATACAGATGGGACAGGGCTTAGATGATGATTATGATAGTGATATGGAAATCTTATCAACGGGATACAGAACCAACCTTTCACAAGTGAAACAACATTTTCCATTAAGAATAAGAAGAATGGTCAATTCAAACTATAATGTGCCAGGGCGCATACCAAACCTTAGGATTCCCTACTTTGATCATAGCAGCAAAATAGGCTTCACAATGAAAGAACATAAAGAGCGCTTTTAAACATAATAATCTTTAATGGAAGAAAGTGCTTATTCTATAACTTCAATTAAATTCAGTATATGGAATTAATTCTTAGTACTTTCTTTAAGACCATCTAACTTTATTGAGAAATTTTCTTTCCTTGTTTTTTCATTTTCTTTCTGGGATATAGCCATTATATGTAATCTCTACCATTTCTCTTTCACAAAGTGTCTTTATACTAAGAATTCCTTCCAAGGGAAACTCTTTGCGTCAGGGGAGCAATTCTTAAACTACAGACAACTCTATGATAGAAAACGTTGGCACTATATGGGTGATACAAACTTACAGAAGCAACCATACTAGAGAATTAATAAGAAACTAACTAGTTGATAAAAAGATACATCGTACAAAATCACCCACCCACACATGATGGAATTATTTACCTTGCTGACAATGTTACGAATTGGCTCAATAATACTCCGGGCTTCCACCTTGCCACATGTAACACTAGGCAATAAAGGGGTAAATGCAAAATAGTTCCGAGGTGACACCACATGAACATCATACAGGGAACTATCAAGATTTTTCAAGAAGCTTGTACCAGCCCAACCAGTTCCAAGTACCACCACCCTCTTTTTCTTGCTATCCATATGAGATGACAAGGCACTGTTTGCTCCATTGTATGATTTTGATTCAGAATAGGCCACAAGACTTCCACCACTGCAAAGAATGCAAGAAAAAATAGCATATATTAATTGTCTCATGTCTGATATGAGTACAGAAAGAAAGCAATGATGCAGAAGCAGAGATACAAGAATAAAATTACTTCTATACAAGGTATTGAAAAGAAAGAAGCAAGGAGTGATTCACAGATATGATAGTGATATGAGATGGAAGGGTTGAATCCACTAGGAAACCCCTTATTACATATGGAGAAAGCTTAAGATGATTTTGTAGGGGCTGAAAGTGGGAGATTCTCATGTTTTCAGTTCTCATACAAATATACAATACAGCAATGCCTCATATGATTTGACTAATGTGGGTTGGAATTCATCTAAATCCTTCATAGCATGCCCATATCAACTAGAGGATCTTTCATTAACACCAGGGAAAGCATGTGTTATACCCAGTTAAAGAGCTAATTGAATTACATCTGAGTTTGTACATTTGTTATGGCAGAGTTTTTTTTGCATTTTATTTTCTTTTTGTCCCTACTTCCTAAGATTAATGTTTACTAGTTAGGTAAAACTACATGGTTCAACAAATAGTTCCTTTTTTGGATGTATGGAATTCCATCCTTCCACTGAAAGTTTTATGGCACCTTTTGTAATTATTAATAAATTGGTAGATGTACAAAGCCAGGTTTCTTCCACTATGCAATTCATACTGTGGATTCAATAAAAAGAAGTTACTGCCACTTACTGAAGTCTGTACACTCGCTCTAGTTTAAGGATTAGATTGAAGAAACATTGACACATTGAAAAGTGAACCAGTATCCGAGCTTCCTTGACTATTAATAAGCTAGTTTTGCAAGGCTTTATTCTGAATTCTAGATGGCTCAACAAATACACTTATATTTGAATTTCCAACTTTAAACCACGTGATTTATTGGTTTTACACATCAAAGTTAAATAAATAAGTAAAATGGGGGACAACAATCACAAAAGTTTATGGACTTAAGATTTTAGAGACGATTACTCAGGATATTAGATGGAGCCATCACCTATGCGGCATATATGGCACACATTCAGAGCATTGTGACTGGTCAAGGAAACTTGTAAGCAGATAAAATCTTCAGACCAAATTGACTCTCAGGTCACAATAGATATTGGTTCGCAATCTTTTGCTCATCCAAAAGATAAAATTGGAATGTTGCATTCATCAGACCAGATCAATTTTCAGAACAGAGTACTTTGAAAGAAGCCATATATGTGTGTCATATCACATGTATGGGCAGCTAAAAATGAAGGGAACAATGTAAGGATTCCCTAGCGTGACTTGGAGAATATAACTATTATATCACATCAGTGTAATTCAATTTATTAAACTTCAACATTTAAAAATTAAAACTAAACTTTTATTTCCAAAGTTCTACACATGCTACGGTTTCAGAGATTGCTTTGTCATGCATCAGCAAAAGTCAAGATTCTTCTTTACTTCTGGGGATAAAGGACAACTTCACGATTTATTCCCACCACTGTTTTTTTTTTTCTTTTTTCCTCTAGACAAATTGATTATACATATATTAACCAATAGTATGAGAGCAGGAGTTAATCCTTAAAACTCTGGCAATGTGCAGAGTTATCACGCAAAGTAGTAGGAATCATCTAATCAAAAAGAATTAGAAACCAAAAAAAAAAGAAAAAAAAAACATAAGATTACAACGAAACAGCGTCAGTAACTAACATTACTAGAAAAAGAGAGAAAACTAGCATTAATGATTCTTATTAACCGTCTATCTGATATGAAACAAGTCAGAAATTCTTAGCTAAAACTTCTTAGTGCAATTAAATGGGATAAAAAAACAATACTGAATGAACTAGAATCGTAAACATCCAGTGAAAGAAAAACTTCAGACATAGATCAAATCTAACAGAAACATCTTAACAACAACAAATAAAATCAAACCAACATTTCGTATATTCAACAGGGTAGTTTAAATGGCAAACCTGACGGTGAAGAGAACAATGAGCTTAGAGAGCGAAGGGTAGTCATGAAAAGCCCGTGAGGTTCTCTCGTAGAAAGAGAAGCCACGCATTGTGTCGTTAATTCCTTTTCCCTTGGGTGAAACAGGAAACCGGAGAATTCAGAGTTCAAAGCGCTTCTGGTCTTGTTTATTGCGTATTTATAGGACGCACTCAGACAGAGAAACTGAAGAAAGAAACGCAGACACGAGACGAGTCCGGAGTCCCGAAAGGTAGGAACCTGAATGAATTGTGAATTGTTCACGACGTGATCGCATTGGCTCCAGCGTGAGCGTGCCCTACACGCGTCCCACAATACATCCCAACCGTGCATTTGGAACATCATCCCACGACATGATGGGCCCATTTTTTTATTAGTATTTCTTTGACTTGTCACACAAGAAAACCATTCATTCCTGATTTCCTTCGGAAGGGAAGTTGTGCTCTTCTAGAAGTGAACACGTTGTGTTATTTTGAGAAAGCAATGGCTGGCCATATGTTTGGACAGCCTGGCTACAACAGGGCTCTCTCTGCATGACACGTAATTCACCCAGCCAATCTCGAACCGACGTATCATGCTGAATGGAACTTGGACAACCAAAGTTCTCTCGTGTAACTACTGTTTTATTTGACTCATGACAGGCTGCCTTTTAGTTTGACTTTCAACACCTTGATCATTGGTCCACTGATCGGATCGGATGGTTCTAGATCAAATCATTCTACATTGGAATTTGGAATATTCTATTTCATCTTTAAAAGGCTTTGGCCAAAAATGGAAAATAGAAGGTTCGAGGAAGAGACAAGAAAGAGTCTTTAAACCAAAGCCAAAGCCCAAAGGTAGCGATTGTAATAATAGGATGAGGAGGTAGAACGTGTTTTAGGGCCAAGAGATGGTCACGGCCCCACCAGCTAGAGGATTGTCCAGACTCTTGTATCTCAGCATCATTGACCATCCACGATGAAATCGTAGGGATTGTGAGCTGTTGATCTCATAGATGGGAGGCAGGTAGATCCCCACCCCACCCATGACCCAACCTTTGGTACGTCAGAATGCATGTAAGTTTGAATGCGTGAATCATCACTTTCCTATTTTCTTGGCAACTGACAACTGGTAACGTCTGTCACGGGAATCCGTGTCAAATGGGAATTCGGTGTTTCCAAATTTTTCGGGTGCATTGCATGCCTGCCATGACTTTCGCCTTTCCATTGCGACCCGGAACCGCAAAGAAAGGAAAGAGCAAAAGCCGTTGAGAATTGAGGTGGTTGGTACCTGGTTGGTCGAGTCTTTATATAGATCATAGATACACGTGAAGCACATGGAATGATGGAAGATGCTCCTGATGTGCGGCTGTAATGTATTGTCTTGTAGAGTACTGTGGATGGCTGACCTATACGAAATCAACCCCTTGCATGGGCCTACACTACACATCGAGGGGCAGCCCATCTCCCATGCCCCATCGGCCCATCCCCTTGACCTTCTCGCACCACACTAGTGGCAGCAGGATTTGATCGGGAAAATATTACAACGAGTCAGAGATTCTACCAATTGTATCCATGGAGCCCGGCTTCAGTGAGAGCAAAGCCCGTTCCAACAGCTTTTACATAAGAATATATTCTCAATGCAAGATTGCAAGGGATTGCTCGAAGGGTGTGAGCATCGACTTGCTCTGATAGAAGCCGAACTCGTATCCATGTGATTAGTTTGGTGTAGGTAAAATGGTAATCGGTTACTTCATTGCGAACATTGGATTTATTTGGTTAAAAAGATTTATGCAAGTTCCGCTATGATGCTGGAAAGACATCATATCATCACAAAACTTGTAGCCAATCAAGTGATCAACTGCCATGATAAAGACACTCTTATGTGTGCTGCACTCCCTATGTTATACTTACCAGACTACTAGTATGCATCTGTCAATTTGATTTTTAATCTCTCTTTCTTTCTACTTTTTAAATTTAAATTTAAATTTCCCTTTTATCTTTCTTATTTATAAGACTTTTAATTAAACTTTGAATTTGAGACATTATTAAATGTCAATATCATTTAGGGCAAATTTCTTAAATTATTCCTATAGTTTAGGAAATTGATTAACTATACCTCTATTGTTTCAATATTGTCTTAAAGTATCCCTATATACTGTTTCTAACAATTGTCGCCATCATTAAATTATAACCAAAGAAAAAAATAAAATATCCAATTTTCACTCCACTATTTCTCAAATTTTCAAAATAAAACCCTCTTTGCATGTCTCCCCATACAGGGCTACCTGGACCCCAGCCAACTAGTATGGCATTGAACCAAGCCTCTTTTATGTCTCCCCATACCAATTCTGAAGAAGTAAAAATCCCTTCCCCAGTTATGTAAGCCGATTTTAGAGCCTAAGGCCATGTTTGATTCACTGCTTTGGCCTCATTCTTTTAATTCTTGCTCGTTCTAGGCAAAAATGGGCAAAAATGAATAACATTAGAGTGTTTGGTTACAAAATTTTTGCCAAGGGCCACATTCTTTTTAGAATGAAAAATAGCAATGAAGCATTGTGGGACCAATGAGCAAGTAGTTGATGTTCTTACCAAGTCACTGCCACATGCCAAACACGAGTACTTCAGACCACAAATGGAAGTAACAAGTTTTGAAGCACGGGGGAGTGTTGATAGTGCTTCAAACTAAGTGGACTTAGTGGGTGATTTACTTCCTAAATGTTAGGCACTATGATAGTGCTTCAAACTAAGTGGACTTAGTGGGTAATTTACTTCCTAATTGTTAGGCATTATGTTGAATAGTGTTTCAAACTTAGTGGACTTAGTGGGTGAGTTACTTCCTAATTGTTAGGCACTATTTCAAGTTAGTGAACCATGTTTATTCACTTTCTAGTTTAATTGTTTATTTTTAGCTAAGGTTAGTTTTGCTGCAAGCCTATTTATTTGGACCTCAGATGTTGCTTTTGTGAAGTGAATTGAATTTGAAGTGGCTTTGTTTTCAAAATAAAATTTTTGTTCTTTTCCCAACAATTTCTTTGGTATCAGAGCCAGGTTGGGTCTTTATCTGGGCAAAGGGTAAAGTAAGAGAGAAAAAAGAGTTCCGCCATGGGAAGTGTTAGCGTATTCCATCAGATTTAGTATTGTATCTTTATCCCCTTAATTCTACGAGACATAGTTCCACTCCAATTAGTTGTACATATCTTTTTCTTTCCTTTTTGTATTCCAATTTAGGTTGCCGACCTGTTCTCTGGTTGTATCCCTAGCTTTATTATAAATAGGTTGTAACCTATTTAATTCATATCAAGAAATATTATTTTTCCATTTATCTTCTTTGTTTTTTCGTATCATGGTATCAGAGTTGTGATCCGCGTCTCCTTGCCTCCTCTGCGTTTCTCGTTTCTCTTCTACAAATTTTGATTTGGTCTAAGTTCGGTGGACCTTGATCAAGCTGTGCTTATTCTGCCCAGCAATTCTTGATCTAGTCGTTCACCGACGTTTCTTGTTTCTTCTCTGCAAATCTTGATCAGGCTGCAATTCCTGTCTCAACCGCGATCGGTGCTTGCTCAACGGTTCTTGATCCAACCGTGCTCTCTCTACTCAACGATTCTTGATCCAGTTGTCTCCCTGCAACTCTTGACTCAGTCGCGATCGTGTTTTCTTGATTGAGTTATTTCTAGTTTTTGCTCTGTTTTTCTGTCTCGATACCATTCTTACTGGCGAGCCCACCGTCACACCATCGCCGGTCCAGTCCATCGGCAACCGTTCGACCCAAACAGTTCGTTCAAAAGCTGGGGCAGGCGAGGCGTTCTCAGGACTCTACCAAGACTTGAGCTTAGCCGCATCCTTCCTTCTTTTGAACCGATGCCATGCTGCTTGAATGAAGCATGCAGCCCATGTGCGCCATTGGTGTGAGTAGAACCGAAACTTGTGTCTAAGTTGCTTGCTATGAAGCCTACGGAATTGCAACGCCACAAACTTCAAGTCATCAGCAATGAGTGTGAATGCCTCAACTTCGGAAATGGCCTTGATGGTGCGTGTGGATGACAGAAAGATGACAGTTGGGCGTAAATCCGTCAGGTAATTGAACGATGGTTCCAGCGGCTTGCATCTGGTGAACCCTCTTGACACCGGTGGTTGTCTCTTCAGAGATCTTGTGGTCTGCAAACTCGACAAAGGCTTGATTCCGATTGGCATCATCATTGCAAAAGGGCTTGCAGAGTTCAACAATCCCTGTTTTTTTTTATTTTAAGGTCAGTATTGAGATTTTCCCGTGACTTGTGTTGCTCCAAAGTTCTGCGTTTCTCCTCATGGATTCATCTGAAGCTGCTCAACATATTTCTCATCCCATCACTGTTACCTTCGATGGCTTAAATTATGATTTATGGTCCCAAGAGATGCGCAGTTTTCTCAAGGGACGCCTTCTATGGCGGTATGTGACTGGTGAGATTCCCAAACCTACTAAAATTGCTGATGAAACAAATGATAAATTTGTTGAACGAATAAAAAATGGGATGGGAAAAATCATCAAATATTGACCTGGTTTCGCAATACTTGTATTGCAAGCATCAAGTTGGAATTTTGCAGATATGATTCTCCTAAAGAGGTATGGGATTTACTACAAGCTCGTTATTCTATTTCTGATGATGTGCATCAGTTTCAGCTCTATAGGCGTCTTTACCGTATGAAGCAACAACCTGAACAGACCATTCACAGTTATGTCTCTGAATTATAAGTTCTTTGGGATCAGTTAGCATAGTGTGAACCTGAATGGGATAGTACCTCTGCGGCCACTACTTATTCCAAGCTTCGTGATCGCCAACATGTTTGACATCTTCTGATGACTCTTAGGGATGAGTATGAACCTATTAGTGGTACTCTACTTCATCCCATTGCCCTCCCTTGAAGTTGTGATCAAAGATTTGCTCTCTGAAGAAATTCGACTAAAAACACTTCGAGATGAGCGATCCTTACTATCTACTGATGTTGTTCTTGCTACTCCGGGTACGTCTACTACATCTTCAACTTCCTCTAAATCCTCAAAGTGGAGTTTTTGCAATTACTGCAAGAAGACTAGTCATGCTATTTCTAAGTGCCGCCGCCTACAAGCCAAAAAGGCGTCTGGACAGAAGTCCTCATCCATGTGTTCTCAGGCTTCGCGTTCTACTGTCGCTGCTGCCACAAAGGATTCTTCTGATAACACCTCTCCA